CTCAAGGACGACGGACGTGAAATAACATCGCAAGGGTTGAAGTCCGCTCGGTTTCGCAATGGGGGCTCGACGGTTTCGGGCGGAGTCGGAGATACCGACATTACGTCATGTTAAATGGTTCATCAGCATCTATCCAAAGAACAATCTGCACCGCAATGACGATCATGAAAAAAAAATACTGGACCAAGTCGATCAAATGGCTAACCGTCCGACCGTCACAGACACGAACCCATTTCTTTCAGACGGAAGCATAACTCACGCGGTAAACCTGCTGTGGAAAATAGATCTGACGAAAAGCCATTTTTAGTAGGGGCTGACATCCAAGCGTCTCCTGCTCATTGCAACTCGAGACCGGAGTCATTTGTTTATCACATAGACGCCCCAGTCAAGTTGAACCAAGCCGGGTATCCTGTCATCGTGTGTGGGATCTCGGACAAGTGTCAGTCTTTTCGCCTTGTGTCTCTCTTCATTACGTCTCAACGCTTCGAAGACATCTATGTGTTGGCGCAAACGGAGCTGTGCAGGGTATTCGCGTCGGTGTCCGGTCGGCAATGGCCGTCAAGATAGTCATGGTGGATGCCGAAGCTGCTCAACAAAAACGCAGTTGCGCAAGTTTTTCGTGTTAATTACAAATTTGTGTACCTGATGTGCTTTTAGCACGTAATGGCCAATGTTCACGAGAAACTCAAGGGCGTTCCTGATGTCTTATGGGAGCAGGTGATGGCGGACATTTACGACCTTCACATTGCGACAACCTCAGCTGTATATGACGAACAAGTGAAGCAAGTGCTGACAAAATGATTACATGAAGAGCAGCTGGTTTGGTTTCAAAACTATTTCAAACGCAAATGGTTGACGAGCGCATTCTGACGATGGCACTGTTTCATTCACCGAGTGGGTACACCACCACGAGTAATCCGGTGGGCAAGTTCAACCTGCTGATCAAGCGCGACTACACTCTCAAGACGAAGCACAAAACTTGTGTATAACTGGACACCGCGTCACTAAGGGCTGTCGTGGTCAGCATGCAGTGGTCGTTCATTCACGACGACTATTCACATCGCGCATGTTGTGGACAATAGTGGCTATCTTCGTCCAAAACTGCCTTTTGTGTCTGCATTTGGGTGTGGAGAGCTTATTTGTGACGGGGTCACACAGCACCTTGTGCAGAGGAAGTTTATTTCTTCTAGAGTATACAAACTCTAAGTGAACGACCGTTCACGTGTCCCTGGTCTGAAGGGGACGAA